AACCACAAAAGACCCCAAATAGCCAAAACAATCCTGAGAAAGAACAAAGCTGGAGGCATCACACTTCCTGAGTTCAAACTCTATTACAAAGCTATAATAATCAAAACAGTATTGGGGCGCCTGGGTGGCTCAGTCGTTAAGTGTCTGCCTTTGGCTCAGGTCATCATCCCAGGGTCCTGGGATGGAGCCCTGCATCGGGCTCCCTGCTCGGCAGGAAACCTGTTTCTCCCTCTCCCACTCCCCCGCTTGTGTTCCCTCTCTCGCTGTGTCTCTCTCTGTCAAACAAATAAATAAAATCTTAAAAAAAAAAAAAAAAACAGTATGGTACTGGCATAAAAACAGACATGTAGGCAAATGGGATAGAATCAAGACCCCAGAACTAAATCTATGCATATACAGTCAACTAATATTTGACAAAGAAGCCAATAATACTCCATGGGGAAAAGATAGTCTTTTCAAAATGAATGGTGTTGGGGAAACTGGATGGTCACATGCAAAAGAATGAAACTGGACCCATATCTTACAACACTCACAAAAATTAACTCAAAATGGATTAAAGACTTAAAATGTCTGAAGCCATAAAACTCTTAGAAGAAACTTTGGAGAAAAGTTCCTTGAAATTGGTCTTGGCAATCATTTTTTGGATCTGACACCAAAAGTATTAGCAACAAAAGCAAAAATAAACAAGTGGGACTACATCAAACTAAAAGTGTCTTCATAGCAAAAGAAATAACAAAATGAAAAGGAAACCTACAGAATGAGAGAAAATATTTGTAAACAACATATCTAAGGGATTAATATCCAAAATATATAAGGAACTCATACAACCTAATTGCAGATAATAATAACAATCTGATTTTTAAATGGACAGAGGATCTGAATAAACGTTTTTCCAAATAAGATATACAAATAACCAACAGGTACATGAAAAGGTGCTGATCATCACTAATCATCAGAGAAAAGCAAATCAAAAGCACAGCGAGATATCACGTCATACCTGTTAGAATGGCTATTATCAAAAAGACAAGAGATAACAAATGTTGGCAAGGATGTGGAGAAAAGGAACTTTGTACACTGTTCACGGGAATTTAAATCAGTCCAACCATTATGGAAAGCCCTATGGAGGTTTCTTAAAAAATAAAAGTAGAACTACCACATTATCCAACAATTCTACTTCTGAGTATGTGCCCAAAGGAAATTAAATCACTATCAAAGAAATAACTGGGCCCCCATGGTGATAGCAGCATTATGTACAATAGCCTAAGATATGAAAAAAAACTAAGTGTCCATCAGCAGATGAATAGATAGAGAAGCTGTGGTATGTATATTTTGATGGAATATTTAGCTATAAAAAAGAAGGAAATCCTGCTATTTGCAACAACATAGAAAAACCTTGAGGGCATTATGCTAAGTGAAATATATCAGAGAGAAAGACACTGTATGATCTCACTTCATGTGGAATCTAAAAAAATCAAACTCACAGAAACACAGAGTAGACTGATAGTTGCCAGGAGCAGGGAGGGGGCGGAGTTGGGGGGTTGGGTGAAGGTGGTCAAAGGTACAAACTTCCAATTATAAGTTCTAGGGATGTAATGTACAGCATGGGGACTATAATTAACAATGCTGTATTATATATATGAAAGTTGCAAAGACAATAGATCTTACAATACACACAAAAATTGTAACTATGTGAGGTGATGGAGGTGTTAACTAATCTTATTGTGGTGATCATTTTGCAATACATACATATATCAAATCATCACATTATACACCTTAAACTTACACAATGTTATATCAATTATATCTCAAAAAGCTGGGGTGGCAGGGAGAAGTGGGCTTGAGGAGAAGAATAGAGAAAGCAACTGACCACAGCCTGGCTTCAGAGGCCATTTCAAATTCTTTTTAGCACTCTCTCTATATATCCGGGGCTGGGTGCTATGTGACACACTCCATCTGTTACAACTAAGTGATAAGAAGATGAGAAAGATAAACTAGAAGCAGATTCTGGCAATAACTGTTTTAAAGCCACTAAATTTGCCAATAGTAAGTAATAATAATTGGAAAGACAAATGACACAGCAAATAATGTTTATCCTGCATTTTGAGAAGCTGAGGATTAGATGTTGGGACATTGATTTACATTTTGCAAATCTTGTGTTTACACACTGTCATTATGAAGACTCTTAAACCTTTTGAGAGTATGATCTACCACACACAAAAAATGATGGTCTCCACTAACAAAGGGGAAAGAGGCACTGAAACAATCATTTGGATAAAACTTGCCAAAGACCCATTCTGTGTTGTACCCCTATGATTCTAGAGATACCAACCAACATTTCCTTACAAGTGAAATCAGATTAAAGAGCATTAAGGCAGCTCTTTTTAAGGGGAAATGAAACAAATGAAACAATGTGAGGAGTGTCTATTATTCATTCATCCAACATTTACTGAATGCAATTATGTACCAAGCATTATTATGCTAGTTAGGCAAAGTAAAAAATATTTGAAATTAATAAAACAGCTTCTGCCTTCTAGGAGCTAACAATCTAAAAAGAAAGGTTGACACGAATACTTGTAGATATTATGGAAGAGTGGAGAGTATGCCAGGAAGGAGGGTAAGAAGAATCTTAACACTTTGCTTTGGATATTGAAATGTAAGATAGGAGCAAATGGATTTATGATGGGCTACAGTTTTCCAGAATGCTAATCTGGTAAATCTAGAGACAGGAGATGTTGCAGGTCTTTCCATGGTTAAACATTACATATTATAGTCCTACTGTAGAGATTCACTACAAACATTAGCATATAAGCAGCTCTAAGAAGTCCACTACTAAAAACAAAAACACAAAACTATTCAACCTGCATTTCCCGTTTTAATTAATCATGGATCCCTTTTTATAACATAGCACCTATAAACAATCTTGGGATTGTTGTTGTATGACCCTCAATGGCACTAAGTAGCTGCCAGCACAGCAGAAAATGAACCCAAAGCAGGAGAATCCCTTTGTGCTTGGATTCTTCTACCTCGCTTTCATTAGTTGCATAACATTTCAATAGCCAGTTGACAAAAGTAAGCAAATAGATCTGTAATACAAGATCAAGCAAGAAGAGAAACACAAACCTACAATGACTCCTGAATTCTTATTTTGATCACAAATGTTGGTCTTCTGAAATGTTTAACTCTCCCCAGAGATAAAATTTAAGAGAGGTGTGGATGCTGGGGCAAGACAGGCCGTGGGTCTTGGCTCAATGGCCGTGCATGTAACTGTCAGTTACTGGACCACTCCTGTAGTGTGATGGAGAAAAGCTATTTAAATGAAACTCAAGAAATTGTAATAGCCAAGCCTATCTAACTGAAGACTCATTCGTACCATTTGGTCTTATTTTTCACATTGTGTCAAAGTGCCTGGACTCTAACACAACCACATTTCCTGTATCTTAGCTGGTAGAGAGTTTCATAGTGAACTTTGCTGACTTCACGGACACTGATTTGAAATGTTCAGATACCACACCACAGTAATGAGGTCACAGATAAGTAAAACCTCATGACCATCAGAGAACAATTATTTATCCACAAAATTCTAATTTGAGCACTGCATCTCATTGTTTGCTCAATGAGCTAGTGAAACTATGAATTAGAGAGAAGTTTCTTTTCTAAAAGATCCTACAGAAAAAGACCAACTACTAAAATCAGATCCTTCACTGGTTTTAGGATAAATGATACCAGATGAAAGTTTCCCTTGATTTTTCCCTTCCTATGGCCCTTGTCTGGTCCCCTTCAATGATGCTGGAAAATAACTGTTTCTTACAACAAATATAGCCAACTCACAATTTCCTGTGTACCTTATTGCTGCATATCCTATACTTGGCTGGTTTTATTCTCTCACGACATTCATTTGCATCTCCTTGTATGTGCATGAAAAATGCAAAACAATTTAATTAGTCTAAGATGAAACAAAGAAGCTCTCTCAAAATACATGTATATTGAAATGATTATTTTAAGACTCATGTCACAGATCCCTTTCCAGTGGCATGCTAGAGTTGACTAAAATACAAGGTGGTGTTTTTTTGTGGCGGGGTGGGGTGGAAATGGGTGCTGCACTGTCAGAAAACCTGCAAATGCCCAATTTCTGTTTCTTATCGAAGTGTGTGACCTCAGATCACTTAACAGCTCATTCTCAAATGAAAGGGTAGGTATAACTAGCTAAACTTTCTGCTAGTTCTAAAGATTCTTTTTTTTTTTTAAATAGTTCTAAAGATTCTTATTTTCCTTTGTTATTAGGTCATGTACCACATCACCGTGGCGAGTAGTTCAAAAATGATTAATGGTTAAATTACAAAAAGCTATCAATTCCTCTAACTTAATCATTCATATTCCCGTTTGCTAAGCTTCTTTGCAACTGTTAGCACACAACTATTATAGTTCTAACCTCTTACCATCTTTGCAGACTTGCCCCCAGGGGGGCAAATTAATTGCATGACTGAATGCAGTCATGCAGTATTAGACACATTTTTAGTACATTGAGTTATGCCTTTTAAGGTCCACAGTACAAACCTGTAACTGTCATTTAAAAGTGGCTCTTAAAATGCAGTCCAAGAAAGAATTCAAGGGACATCATCCCAGAAGCTGGCTGAAAAATGCAGATTCTTGGACTCCAGAATCCATTTTGACATGTACACTGGCAATTCTTACACCACCAAAGTTTAAAAACTACTGGCTGAAGGAAAATTTCGATATTAACTAGAAATTATTTTTGAAAACTACTGAAAAAACAGGGCACAGCTCTATTAATTTGGGGGGGATTATTTATTAAATTCACCAAATCTGAGGTTTTAAAAGTTACATAAAATATTGCAGCTTAAGAATTTTCCAAATATCTCCCTATCGTAAGCAGCATGAGACTGTAATTAAGTGCATTCTTTAAAAATACACTCAAATCCTTAAGCTAAATGCATTAAAAATGGAAATAAGCAATTCACATTTTTATTTCCTGGGATTAGGCCAAGATGGCTTTTATGTTTCTGAAGCAATCCACAAAGCCAAGATTGAGGTTTCAGAGGAAGGCACCAAGGCATCTGCAGCCGCAGGTATGTTCATAAAGGGGTCAGCAGCACTCAGTCACACTGCTTGCCCTTATCTGCCTTTGTCAGATTTATCCAGTTCAATCTTCACATTTCTAAACCTTCCCACTAAAAAACCCCAAGTCCAGATGTGGTATAGCATTTTTTAAAAAAGAAATGTTAACATAGAGCAAAGTTTGAGAACTGATGGGAGAAGAGAAATCCATTTTGAAAAGGATTTGTCCCACCATCCCCATAAACAAGGAATGGAGTCCTTCTGAAAATTACCTTTAGTAAGGAATTTATTCCATGAAGTATTTTGAAAATGGGACACAAGTTTGGCTAAATGACATCTTAATTTTCCCATTTGTACCCCCATCATAACACTAAACAATGAAATATCATTAGGATGCTTTTATTTCTTCAAAAATCAAGGGATATAACTGACTTCATATCCAAGTGACTTTCCTCAAATGAATAGAAAATGCAATGGGATTCTTCTATTCTCTCTCCTGCAGCTCTGTTGTTACTGAAAAGGTCTCGGATTCCTTTTTTTAAAGCAGATCGACCATTCTTCTTTTTGCTGAGAGAACCCGACACAGGTAGGACAGTATTTTTTTGATAGAATTCAGATAAATATGTATCAGCATCTCTCTAGCAACAAGTGTCCACTGTGGCCTAGAACAAGCATTCCTTCTAGCTAGTTTCTATGGCTTCAGAAGCTTCCCAGTTTCTTGTCGCGTATCCTGAGAAAGGGGAGTATTCCATAACTACAAAGGAAACTAATATCCTCCATGTAGTTTTTGACTTCTCCTTCAGCTCATTTTTAGTTGATGTGGATTTTTAAAAATTCAGGCTTCTACTTCTGGGGAGACTTAGAAAGATCATGAAAGTAAAATAAATGATACATCTTGATTTTCCCCCAGTTGTTGCCTTGCTTTCTCATCACTGTAAGACAAAAGATAGTTCCTTCAGGGCACCAGCATATCCAAGTAGTCTTCTGACTCAGCAACCCCCGTATTCTAGTGAATGCACCTGGATTTCTAGTTTTTCTCTTGATCTTTCTCACGCTTGCTGAAATGCCACAAAACTCAAGTGTTTGCCCTAGTACTTCTAAGACCCACTATACAATCTCATCAGAATCCAAAGATGGCATGGTACAGGCAAAGCCTGAGCACATCAGAAGGACAAGCAGAGGTCCTTTCAGCTTCAACAATGAACAAAGTACTCAAATTATTCCTCTCAATGTTCCCCCTCCCCCCGACAATTATTTATCAGCCTGGGAAGGAAAAGAGATTCTCAGTAAAGAGTTGTTGGCAAGTCGAAACAATGTGTTAAAAAGAAATAGGATGGAACAAGACTAACAAAATCAAGCAAAAGTGGATCTACTTTAACTAAACATCAGGCATTATTTTTATTTATGGAGAGAAAAAAAGTCAAAAGTTAGAATAATGAGAATTACGCATAGGTTTTACACAAATTGTTAAGGAAATACTGTCAACATCATTTTATCTGAGAATCATTTGCATACTGCTGTAACTTGTGCTAGAAATCAAAGGAACACTTTTGTGACAAAAAGGATGAAGATAATCATTCACTAGGAAATAATCTATTTTGGGATTATTTGGGGAGAAAAAGTCCATCAACAGAATATATCCTCCTAGGATTTCACCATGATCATTCCAACCCCATGTTTATTAGATGAAATTGTCACTTATCACTCAGAACAGGCAACAGAGAGCCCTCTCTTGGAAAGGATACATGTCAAAAAAATGAAAGATGAAAAAAACGACAGGTTCTACTTCCTCAAGAAACAGAGACAGGACTATAAACGTGAACAGAAAGGTCATTGTCAAAAGCTGATAGCCAATAAAAGATGATGACAGTTAAAAGAGAACGATTTCTCTTTTGGAATTCAACTGCATAAAAATGACATAAAACCTTTGAACTAGTAAAGGACACACCACTATTTCAATGATCGGAGTTTTCACAACTGCCTCAATAAACAATGAAAATAAAAGGCTAATCCAAAACCAGTTCCATAATCTGCCACACATCTAAATCTAGTCCTTGTGAGTTTACTCTTTCTGGCAGGTATTTGCCCACATGATTCAAGGTGGCTACTATTCTGGTGAGAGAGTGGTATCAAAGAGATAGAAATCAGTCTCAGCCTTCATTACACCAAATTGACAAATCTTACTGTTTAGGGCAAATAATGAATCCATTGACAAATGGGACACATATGGGAACATTAAGAAAAACGATCTTAATCTCAAGATTACACTGTTGGAGAATATCACTTGTCCAGCCTAAAGCCACCCAGTGATCTAAAGGACCTAAGAGGCATGATATTCCCCTGAAATATACTCCCTCCCTCCCCTTTGCTTACAAGAATTCTATAGTATTTTACTAATTTAACTAATATGCCCAGTTTCTTAAAATGTAAAAAAACCTGCAAGATGGGATATTAAGCTTGAGTTTCGATTGGTTTCAAACCTTGTGACTAGGTTTTGGATGAGGCAGACCATAGAGTATGATGGCAGAGAGATTAAGAAAGAGGAGACTGAACAAACTGTTTCTCTTCCCAACTCCTTCTAGGGTTCATCCCCAAAAATGTAATAAAGGTGAAGGGTTTAAAGGATCATTACCTCATCAGCAATCTGTAAAAGGGAAATAAGAACTTCCTGATAAGGAAAGCTGCTAAACATTGGAAAAGACTGAATCCCTTTCCTAAATATTTTTGTTAAGTATGAACTTTTATCTGAATGACTTGTAATCCCTTCTATTAACCACAGAATCAAAATATACATAAAGACAATTTAAGACCAGACAGTATATTCTGGATTTTGTGTAGCTCTTGAATTTAGCAGTGACTGCAGGTAATTACCTTAACAATTCCATCTATTAAATGATATCCTGCTTTAAAAGTATTTGTGGAGGTAAAAAAGGTTTAAAGAATTGCATATGAAAATACTATGTAACGTTACATTAAATGCCTCTTTTTCTCAACAGGATTTGTCTTCAGCATTGGGAGAGTTTCAAATCCCCTAGACTAAATTAAGAGATCTCGAGCATGTTCTCCACTTTCATCTATGCTTTTCTTCATAAAAAGTTACAATTGCATTCTGCTATACCCTTGAAATTTTAAAAAGCCTCTGCTAAAGTGTAAAAAGATAAGGGTATGTGATTTTCAAATATTATGAAACTAAAAGTCCATCAATTTTACTATAATTTTATAAATTTATTTTGCCCTCTCTTAATCTAAATGTATTTTAACCTTCCTTTCTACCCAAAAGCACTACAAGGCACAGCAGTGATCTATGAAAGGTGAGTGAGTGAGTCTGCTCATAGGGTCATGTCCTCAGTGAAGACACATGAGGTCATGTTGGACTGAGAGTGGACAGTGAACAGTGTTGGGTTTTTCCTTATCCTGGGTAATTCAGGGGGAATGCACAATGAGCAAAGTCATCTTAAATGTTTGCTTTCCATTTAGCCTCTAAACAAAATGGAGTTTATATGTGTAAGAATAGCAGAGGAGAACAAAGAGATCCCCTTTGAACCCCCAATTTGTTGTGGGACTTTTGTAAGCATGGCGTCAAGCTGCTAAAGACTAGACATTTCAGAGTATGTGATGACCCCCAAACTTACAACTCCCTAACTAACAGCCTCAACTTAGTGCCATCCACAAACCTAGTGAGAAAGGAAAAAAGTGTTGGGAGTAAAGAAACCAGTATGAAAGATTTTTGCTTTTAAACAGCTTTTAAGGTGCCTGCCTATTTGCCCCAGATACCGTCATTTCTATTATCTAGGCAGAAATGGGAATATGTTGGTGTGGCCAACAAAATCTAAGAACATAGAGTAAGAAGACAATGCAGGTTATGTAACAGGTAATTACAGTTAGCTTTAACAAATATGAACTTCAAGTGGTGTATTTTTCCAATGCTTAAAAAGCAAGGCCTTTAAAATTCCATTACCCTTAAGATGGTTTTAAATGATTTTAAATGTGATTATTTCCTAAACCACACAAGAGTAAAATAGAGCATTTATTGATGGAATAACAAAAGTGCTTTTCTTAAATATTCTTCAAAATACATTTGTACAACTTACAATAATATATCCAAAATAACTGTATATACAAAACATTACCTAGTTTTAATGTATGTGCTTTTTTCCCCAAAAATTACAAAGTAACTTCTTTTTTATTTTTTTTTGGCAAAGTTCAACCTTAACAGAGGTGACAATTTTAAAGGTTGGTTTAAGAAAATAGAACCTGAGGGAAATTGACACGCAAGAGTCAATGACAAGCAAGAGATCTGGAGGAATATTTTTAGTTTGTTAAATAAAAATGTGTTTTAGAGTGATATTTTTCACATTACAAAAATAAACCAAAATGAAGAAAAGGTCACTGTAAAATGATGGAAAAAGGATCTGTAGACTTGCTCTTAGTATTTCAAATAGCCAACAATGCATGTCAAAAAATGAATGCAAGATCACAACAGTCTTGTATTTACTTTGTATTTGGAGAAGATAGTGAAATAAGTGGCCACATTCTGTTTTCTTTTAATTGCTATTAATATGGTTGATCTGACTGGCTCTTCGATGAATTTCATCCAAGAAGTTCTCCAGTTGTTCTATTAGCATTCGTTTTTTAAACCTGTATAAAAAAAAATAAGTAATAGCACTCTCAATTTCTTTTTAATGGATATAGATCAGTATAATTTTGTTTCATTTTGTTTTTCAAAGACAGAAACTGCCTTGGGAAGATTTTTCAAAGGAAAATGAAAATGCAAAAACAACTTTATGATATATAAAATTCACTGGAAAATAAGCAAATTATTTTATCAATGCAAAATTACAGTTTGTTCCTAAAACAAAGAATCCAAGCCCAGGTACAACAGAAGCAAGTTATCTGTTCTACATCCAAAAAGAAAAACAAAAAACCCCTAACATTTACAATGGTTACAAATATTCCAACAAAATTTGGACTCCCAAAGCAATGACTCCAATAGCTTCTGATGCTTTTTAAAAGTTGAATGTTGAAAGGAATGTGAAAAAAGTATGAATATAATCCCCACAAAACAGAAGAAGAAATGAATAGTTGGATGGTAGCATTAAAAAACCCTTGAGTTCTACTATTATAATTTGAAAGCTAGCAAATCAAGGATAATTAGATATCTGTGATATAGGTTATAGCAAACATTTAAAGTTCAAGTAGTGACTTGAAATTTTTTTCACTAATACATAGAATAAAATTGCATTCATCTACATAAATACTCTTACTGCTGATGCTTTTTAGAATATCCAAAAATGCTTCCAATCTATACCCACTTCCCCTCTACTTGTAAATTCATATGAATAACCACCATAATATTACACATCTCTCTAAAAGGTGGCAGAAGTAGAGGGCAGGCACCAGGAATATAGCTAAATCCATGATGAAGTTTGAGTTGATAGAATGTTACATAAAGAAAAGAATCGGTTAAATACTCAAAATAAATAACATGAAAGGTTATGGCCTTATCTTGAACCTTCAAAGTGGCCTATGCTCTAGCCACTCCAAAAAAAAGGAAAAAAATTAACTGCTCTATCTAAAAATACCTTTATGCGTAGCATGGAAGAAACTGGGGGACTATTAGAGGGTTGGTATATTTAGAAGGTCAGATAACACTAAGTTTTCTTAGAATACTAAAGAAGTCTTAAAGGA